TAACGTGTGTGAAGTAATCTACGGGTGGACAGCTATCAACGAAGTAGAAGTTGATAATGACAGGGAGAGTGTTTTAGATGTTAAATTTTGAACTGGGTGCAGTGTGACAGCGACGTGAGTGTTATACACCTGATGATGGCCGTCTGAGGCCGAAACATGTAGTGTAGGGAGCAAGATCAAAGACACAAAATATATTGTTTGCACTTGAGACGGAGTTTATATCATTTAAGAAAACGGAGGGCTAATTTGATTGATCATATCTTACACAGTAACTGCCTTCTAAAAGAAGTTATTGATGGAAGGACAGAGGGGCGGATAGAAGTGACCAGAAGACAAGGAAGAAGACGTAAGAAGATGCTGGATGACCTTGGGGGCAGAAGAGGATATTCTCATTTGAAGGAGAAAGCTCTGGATCGCATTAAATGGAGGAACAGTTTTGGAAGAGACTGTGGACCTGTCGTCTTGACAGATTACTGATGAATGAATGAAGATACAATGAAGGGTAAAACACATTACTGAAAGGAAAAGATATAGTAAGATTTCACAGAAAATAAGATGGTTAGAACATAACGAAAGAATGGAAGATAATGCAGTGTCAAAGAGAATGTTAAAAGGAAGGATATATTCCGAAAGAAGAAAAGGAAGACCCAGGATGAGATGGCTAGACGATGGTGAGAGTGACCTGAAGAAAATGAAGGTGAAAGGCTGGATAGATAAGATGAGGAACAGAGAGCAATGGAGACTGGTTGTAGAGGAGGCCAAGGCTCACCCAAGGCTGTAGCGCCGAGTGGTAGGTATTGCATTTAGCAAGACACTTAGAAATGTTAGTGTGAAATTAATCCCCTAGAGGGGGGGAGACGTATGTAATAAGACGGCAATATATCGTATGTACGAGAGGGTAAACTTCAGAGATATCTCAGTATCTAGGGTAACAGGTGCCAGGTTAATGTTGTGGCGTGTTCACGTAATGCAAGAACTGTTGAGCCACAGAAACAGCTGTTGCTAAGTAACACACACACACACGCAACAATATAACAACTAGGTTATGCAATCCGTTTCTAGGTAACGGCTAGGTAAACACATTTCCGCGTATCGGACACTGCTGTGCACGCGGTGTTGACTCTGTAATTGGCCACTGGCAGTTCAGCTAACCATGTAAACAAATAAAGAACTAGACAGAAGAACATTAAAAGTAATTAATTGATCTTAATTGAATTATTATTATTATTATTATNTTACTTTGCTATGTTTTATGTTTTGTTGTTCTGTTTCTTTACTTGTGCTCACTGTGCAATTGGCCTCTGGGCTCTTACGTTTGCACGTAAATACATATGAACTGAATTGAATTACTGTAAAATCCTACACTCGTTCTGTTGCACACGGAACCTGCATTAGACATACAGAAAAAGGAAGTTCAGAAATGATTAAAGGAACGGAAACAAAATTTACGAATTCGTCGTTAAGGCACGCTGCCAAAAGAAAAAAAAAAAATTACAGCAGACGACATCTGCGAAACAATTCATAACAGCGACTGAACTTAACTCTTTCTAGCGCAACAAACAGAGCGCGTCCCTCCTAAACCTCCGTTCTTTAGAATACTGGACGAGGAACATAGTCCCAAAACCCAGTAATCCCGAATAAGTAAAGTAAAGTAAAGTACAGATGTCCCTGTACCAGGCGGTGGAGGCCCATGGGGTTGTGAGATGTTGAGGTTCTCCCATTTTCTTGACAATCGGCATATAGATGGCGGCAAGGTTGTCAGCCTTACGCGCCTGCCGCTTTTTTTTTCCTTGGCACTACAGCCCCACTGGGCCTAGGCCTACCTCCATGAACTCCGTTCACTTCGGTTTTTCTAGATCTTACACATTCGATAGGATTCCTTGGGCGGGTGATCAGCTCGTCGCAAGGCCTCTACCTGTACACAAACACAAGAAACGCACACAAACATCCATGCCCTGAGTGAGATTCGAACCCAAGATCCCGGCTTCCGAGCGAGCGAAGACAGTGCATGCCTTAGACCGCTCGGCTACCGTGACCGGCCCTGCCGCCCTTTACCCCCAAGAATATTCCTGGTACTCATTTCTGTTAGAGGCTGAGTCAACCCCGGGGCCATAGTGCGTCTGGAAGGGTTAGGTAAATTGAAAAGAATCCAATGACTTGAACCCGCGATCTTCCGGTTTGTAGCATAGTGCCCCAACCAACTTCGCTACCGCGTGCCCCGAATCCCGAATAACTACAATAAAAATGCCAAATGCTTTGTTATTTTAGGTGTCGAATTTACATCTAACACGTCAAGTATATTGAGAATAAAAATACTCTATGTTATTGTATTGCGCTACTGTTGTATTGTAATAAAAATGTCATGTACTAAAATAACTTTAATAGTTTGGTTCAGTCCAGTCGTTTGAAGATATAAAATTTCTTATTGACTTTCAATGTTCCTTACGAGATGGTAAGCCTGGTCACACATATATATATGAGGTCAATGCGGTATGAGTTCTTACTACAGGGTGGTTATCATCTTGTATATGCTAACCTAACAAGCCGTATTGCGAATAAGGCGCCCAGCGACTGTTAGGCTGAATATTTATATTAGGTTTAGAAGACAGTCTTGTGTATGGCGTAAAAATTACAGACAGACTTATAAATATTTGTCAAGTCATAGAGAGAGTAAAAATGAAACAAATACAGAAAGAGGAGGCCATTTTGTCTCTCTTCTCTTTGAGCACAGACTGTTATAAAGCAGTATTCATGGCCGCGCCATAGCTCAAGCCCCAAATGACAAAAGAAGAACAATGAAAAATTTAATAATATAGGTAGCGATGATAGAAATAAACAAAAAAAAAATCACTGCAGCAATTTCTTCCTATGTCAAAAACTGAAACCCAGAGTCTCCGTCATCCAGCTCAAGCCAATCTTGGGTATTTTCTTGCGCTCCAGCTGTCCTCAACACAGTCCGAAAGCCCTATTTTTCTAATTCCTCTTGTTCGTAAATCCCATGTGTCTTTTGAAGTATGTATTCAATTTTGAACAGAATTTTTCATATTTCAATTCGGATTATCTGATATCCGTATTAACTGTAACCGGATTAGCAAAGGTTCACTCTATTTCTAGCAGATTTCCAGCTAATCCAGAATCTGATACGGATTCGATAATGTCTTTCAGAAGAGTTAAATAATGGATGAGAAAATTTCATGAAAGCCTGAAGGCCTTCCTGTACTTAGTAACGTCCAGTGCATTTGCACCTTTCTGAAGACTTCTTACCCTGGTTCTCCACCCACAAATAAAATAAATGAAAAATAAAATAAGCATGGTAGTGCGAGCGGCGCGGGACTTTCGGAACTTGACAAATTACCTCGGTCCGTCTCCCCACAAACACTGCAGCCTCTTCTTAAATCGTCATCAATCATACAAGCAAGAGATGCAAATACGGCTAATGTATACAGAACTTACAGACGGATCTCCTCACAGATTCCGCTCACAAAGAAAATGAAGGCGAAAATAAAACGAAACAAATCGTTTTGAACAAGAATTGGGTGGGGGGGTAGGCGTAACATAAAAAAATTATTCTAAAATAAAAGTTAAGTCCAAGTCGGAGGGATTCTCACACATGCATTGCAAGACTATTCACACCTGTTCAGGTGGAGGGGGGGTGAATGACGCAGCAACAATCCCTAATTATGGATGGAGACAGCAGTTTTCTGGGCTGCAAGTTTCGTTTACGAGACTCTTCGTATTGCTGTATAAAGGCTTTTTAGAACGAGTGTTGAAGGATTTTCTCCCTTAGAGACTCTTAACAATAAAGCCGAAAGCCGCTTCTGGAATATCTAATATTAGATATCAATCATAATATTTTTTTTTCCTATCTCCTACACCGATATGCAGAAGGGATAGCGTAGTCGGCATAGCGACTGGTTACGGGCTGGACGACCGAGGGGTCGCGGTTCCAGTCTTAGCAGAGTCAAGAATTTTCTCTTCTACACGTCGTCCAGACCGGCTCTGAGGCCCACCAAGCCTTCTATCCAATGGGTACCAGGGACTCCTTCCAGGGGGTAAAACGGCCGGGGTGTGAACCTAACCACTCACCTCCAGCTAGTTCCGAGGTCAAGAAAGCGTGGATCTATACATCCACCCCCTCCTTACGTCTTCATGGCTTAGTGCTTATTTAGTTAAGCACAGGGACTACTTTTTTGTACATTTGATAAAAACACAATTCGATCCGGCTTCCAGAGGTACTTAGACAGAAGGGCAATAATTCATGTCACGAATTATATACAGCCTCTGGTCTCATGGCTTGTATATGTATTTTGAATTTAACCTTTTCATATATATCCTGAACTAGCGTTTTCTATATGGCTCCTGAACTCTTTTATTAAATGTTTCATAAGTTATGTTTACTATATCTCTAAATCGAAGTTTATTGACTTTCTAAACCTAATATTTCTCCGTAGTAAGGAGATGGGGACTAGCTGTATCGATTGGGCCCAACTGAGCACGCTTTTACCTGAAGATGGACACAAGAGTCCAGTCTCCGAAGCATTGTTATTAAATAAAATACAGGACGATGAATTATGTCCAAAAAGTCAATAATTTTATTTATGTTTCTCCTGTGTGCCGGTACTCCGTGGATTTAGTCCGCAAGCAAACTATACCGACCGAGCGACCGCCACTTGTCGGCGAAGTTAGTGGCAACGTTAGCGAATAGAGGGTGTTGCGTGGTCGGCGCAACGAATCCCCATGGTCGTTAATTTCGGTTTTCTAGACCGGAGTTACTACTGCTTTGAAATGGCTCCTCAATTATCTTCACGAGGCTGAGTGGACCCCGATCCAGACTCACTACTCAGAAAATCTGATAGCGCCAGAATAGAACCCGGACCTCTGGGTGTGCCGGATACTTGCTTTTGAATATGTATAGTATTTAGAATCAGAATGCGGTAACTCGGTTCTCAGATCTTGTTTTAAGCGTATCTGACAATTAATTAAGCCATATTTCTACTGACCCTGCTGGAAGTAGTTCGCCTTGCGCACGTAGACGCAGACGAGTGCCATGAGTTGCAGCTGGGACAGGCGCTGTCTTGTTGACGGCGGAAGGGGCAACAGGTCCCGCAGGTTCGCTATCTCCGCGTTGATGAGGTCGCGGCGCAACTTGCTCGCACCCTTGGTCGACTTGCTCGCGTCGAACCTGCAAGAGACATTTCTCACATTACGGACAAATCATCGACGCTACATAATGTTCACAGGTAAAACAGCGTCATTATAAACTATGAAAGAATATGCTTGTCCGTTGCACGACAACTTACACCTAATGAGTATAGGAGTTCCTTTCGCAGAGGGAAAAGAGAGTTCAAGCAAGAAGCTAACCTCTCCTCTAAATCTACTGAGCGTCGCATGGTAGTGATTAGTATTCTTACTTCGTATTCTGGAGGCACAGGTTTTGAATTTCAGCTTACAGTGTTTTATTTTTCTTAGACACCAACGGGAAATGATGGAAAGGTAACTTACCATCAAATCAAGACATTTTTTACCTTCTCCAAATGCACAGAGTCGTCTTTCTTTTCGAAATTCCACATGATATAAACTATAAGATTGTTACTGTGGCTGCAATAAACAAGGAGACCTTAGTCCTTTTCCCAAATTAAGGAAATGAACAGAACTTCATTTCCTGGACGTCAATATCGTCTGCTGATCGTAGAAGGTTATTGTTTTTATATGCTGTATGTGTCATAGAATGAGGCTGACACTACTGTGAGATTAAGGATCGAACATTAGAGGCTTCAGCTTCGATTTTTCCTATCTACACGAGAGCAGGAATTTGAATTTAGCATAGTATTGTCATAAACAGTCCAAGAAAACCTACCTCAATTATGACAACCAGTCTCAGATGTGATAGTCCAGAACATTCTTTCTTTCCAACCTTTCTTCCAATGCCACTAAAATAACTTGATACATTTGATTTTTTATGATGAAATAAAATAAAATTATACAGGAAGTTCTAGGAAAAACTAATTGCCTATTTGCCTTTGATACAGCATGGACCGGTTGGAAAAGTCGCGTCCAACAATTCTTCTATTGTTGTGTATTCGTTGCCGCGGTAATGTTTTTACCCAGCCTTTGCCTAGTAACGATAAGAGGATACACACAAACAGATTGGAGGGATTTATGAAGTGCCCCCTTCAGATGATCCGCATACCAAATTTCGTAAAGATTGGTTCCGCCATTCAAAAACTGATAAGGAAGAAAAACAGGCAAAGAGACAGCACGGTGATCGCTAAAGCTTACTTACCTGCGAGGAAATTTACATCTGAAAACACATACTTACATCTACAAATAACACAAAAATTACACTCTGTATAAGAACACTGGATCTTTAATTCAAGTGGGTCACTATGATCCTGGTCCAGTAGAAGAACAGGAAACTTTTCGAAAATTAAAAGGTAGCTTATATTTATCTTCCACCTGCACAAGAACGTAATCGTGTCTGCTTCAGTACACAGAATGCCCATTAAACAGCAGGCCGAAAGTTTGTAGTATGTCCATAAAACGGTGAGTTCACTCAGATGCTGACAGGAAGAACGTTCGCCGTATGAAATATGTTGTTACTTAATTGGAAAAGTTTATTGCTAATAAAAACGCAATTTACAACGCTATGCTGAACATAAAACAAGAATATCTCAATATCATCCATCAAATAACATTATCATTATTTCAAAGGGTACCTTCGATAACCGTTTTACAAGGAGTGTTCAGTTTCTTCAAGCAGTTTGCTAATTTTAGTATAAGAAAGATAATTTTTTCCTTCTACAGTATATTCGCGTGTTTCATGTGATGGCCGGAATGGAAAACTATATTTCCCTAAAGAATATTATTAACTGGTTGGTGTTGTAATGGAGACTCCTGTGCTCCCTTTGTCAATGAAGCTGAATTTTTAAATATTGTCTAAATAAACTTCATGCTGGGAAATTAGTTACGAGGAAACCACACGACAACAAACCCTAAACCCCTGCTGACTGTATGCATTCTGAAAGATGAATCTCGGTGTAAAATTAATAGCTTGGATCAACGGTATTAGAATTTGCTCAGATTTTGTGAGGCTCTTTTATTAGAAAAAAAATTTACCGGCCGCGGAAGTCTCAGTGTGCATCTAACTGTAGCTTAAACATGAACAATTATAGTGAAATTAGATATGGAGGTCATGTCACAGGTCGCCTCGTAGACTTTTTTATTATGATTATTATGCTTATTTACAATCTACATCGTTTTAGAGTATTAAGTATATGTGTTGTAGTTGGTTGGCTTGCAAGGGAAACATCCAGTGATGTTTCTCCTACATGTAGTCTATTTTATTGATTGATGATGTCTTGGGGCCATGTTCTGTCCAGTGTTCTTGTCACTGGATCGTTGGTGTATAGCTCTTCTATTAATTCGTTGTCATGTGCCTCGTAGATACAGTTCTTAAATGCTTCAACCTTTCAGGTGTTTAACCTCTTGAGGTAGTTCCATAATAATTGCAAATTAACGTAAGATTCTGCGTCGGGCGCCCAGACAACTGGCTCTAAGTACAGAGTTCTAAATGAAACCTCACGCAACTCTTGGTCCTAGAGCAAAACTTCATGCAACCTTTGGTCATAGAGTGAAGCTTCATCTATCCCTTGGTTCTAAGAGCCAAACATTACGTAACACTTGATCTTAGAATGAAATTTGCATAACCTTTGGTACTATAGTGAAACTTCCAGTAACTCGTGATCCTGATCCAAGAAACTTTTGCCCTAAAGTGAAACTTCACGTAACCCTTTGTTCTAGAGTGAAATTTCACGTGTTATTATTCATTATGCCTATACTGACGGTAAGATACAGAGATATTTCGATTTCAAACAAACTTCATTTCTTTCATGTACGGACGAGAGGATCAGATAATTGCACCCTTTCCTGGGCCAGATGAATCTCGTAGACATCCACGCAATGTAGCCTTATTTCACCCTATTCATTTTAATATTATTCTTATATTAAATGTAAATTCTTAGACAAAGAAAAACACCCGACGAAAAGTCTTCCGAAAGCGCCCGTCTGTCCCAGTTAACGATTCTAAATGTCTATATCGTTCAGAAACAGCGTTTGCATTGAAATCCGAGCATGAACTTCGATTATCGTATTATCGCATTTTTCATGTATAATGTATGTTTACGAACGGTGAAACAAACACTGTGAAGGAAATGAGTAATTTCGTCACGTGGCGTCGAATTCAGCTGTATAACAACCGCTAATGATAATTATCGTCACATAAACTGAAAGTGTAATGAAATGGGAATACAGCACCTCGTACTGGTAAAGCAGATTCGTTCCTAGGTTCACGTAAGACGCACGTCATGTAAACTTATGAAGGAGAGGTTTATTTAGCGACGGGTTCAGTAGATCAGGCTATAGGCCTACGACGTCCAGTGACTGGATCACTAATTCATAAAGAATTTAAAAGGATGAAGGAAACGGTAGCGGCCGAATTTGGGGAAGCATCCCGTTATTTGCCTCGGACTGAGGGAAACGAAGAATACCTTCAATTAGGATAGCTGACTTCCGAGCCGAGATTTGAAGAAGGGGCCTCTTGATTACAAAGCAGATTTGCCGATCACTCGGTTCGGTGAGGGCGTGGAGACGTAGCTTCATCTACTTTTAACCTCGGCACCAAACTAAGGCCACTGTTAAGCTTAAACTTCCGGCAACTTTCTCCCCAAAAGGAGTGAAGAGAGGGTGGGACCAGATGCTGTCAGGACATGGCGAGGAAGAGAAAGATCCCCTTCCCCTGATGAAAACGGAAACTAGTCCACTACACCGCTGCCGGTCACTATACTGAGTGACTTATCCGCTAGTGCTCACGGTTTATTTTAAGGCGTAGAGAATTTGAGGGAAGTAAAAATAAGCATGCCGGTCACGGTAGCCGAGCGGTCTAAGGCATGTACTGTCTTCGCTCGCTTGGAAACCGGGATCGTGGGTTCGAATCCCACTCAGGGCATGGATGTTTAGTTTGTGTGTGTGTGTTTTTCTGTGTTTGTGTGCAGGTAGAGACCTTGCGACGAGCTGATCACCCGCCCAAGGAGCCTACCGAATGTGTAAGATCTAGAAAGACCGAAGTGAACGGAGAAGTTCATGGAGGTAGGCCTAGGCCCACTGGGGCTGTAGTGCCAAGGGGGGGGGGGAGCATACACTGCCTTAATCGGAATTTGAACCGGCTACGCTCCGAAACAAAGGCAGTAGCTTTATCTCGTAGCAAGCTGCTTAAAGCAGTGTTTAAATATGAAGAGAAGCGAAAGGTAGCCAGACTTATTACAGCCTGAAGTAAATAATATGAACTACGCCCATCTGTTTGTACTAACCGACCCGACCATGTTTCGGAGCTCGTTTTGTGTTTTACAATCGTTAAGATTGTCAAAATTAGCACCGAGGAAAGGAAACTTACCTAAACAGAAGAAGTGTACTCACACATAACACAACCACGAAGTACTAAAATAAAAGAGAAATGGAACTATATTAAAAAAAGTCACTAGTTAACAAAAAAATTATCCTGTCGTAAGGACTTCATTTCTCTGTCTCAGCTAAGCTGCAGTTTAATGAAAAGTGTAAGCAATGTGTGCTGAAGCGAGGTAGATGTTTGTTGTACAAATAAATGACCGCAGTACCGTCGGGAGCCACTACTGGCTGTCTCAGTTCTGCTACTACACGTGTGGAAGAAACCACAGTAACAGATGAAGGACAATCAGTATTTGTCTTGGCCAGCAACCCCTTCCCGACACTACACGGCAGCACTAAGACATTTCTCATTTCTATGTCCAAATTTTAAAGAAAGGCGAATTACTAGAATGAAAATAACAAGAATTATTGTTACTGTCAGACATATTTTTTGTAGTTTGTATTTTATTTAACGATACTGCCAGTAATTCGAAATAATTACCATCGAATAACCGGATAATAGAGAATAATAAATTGTGATGGATGAGGAACCCCGTGTGGAGGCGGGTTAGAATAGCTCCACCGTAGCCCTGCAATTCGTAGAAGGCGACCAAAAGGGAACCCGGTGCCTGGGTGTAAAACCGGGCCACCCTGTTAATGGGAGATATAAACAAAGAGACCTGGTTTTCCAGGTTGGGGGTTGGACGCAAGGCTAACGACCTTGCTCTGTAACAAAATTATTGT